ATGATTGATGATGGTGATTGTGGAACAGTTGGTGAAATGAAGTTTATCAGAGTAAACCGAAGTACTCGGAGATAACCTGCCCCAGCGCCACTTTCTCCACCACAAATCCCACAAGGCCAGACCCTGGATCGAACCTGGGCCGCCGCGGTGTGAAGCCAGCGACTAAACGCCTGAGCTATGGCGCGGCCAACAAAATCTCTTACCTCCTTCTGAAGACTAGACCTTATGAGCGTGTAGTTCTCCGCGTCCCATGTACATCTGCATAGAGGAGAGCTTAGACATTGCCGTAATTTTCCTTGTAAGTTGCAGGACTATGTTAGGCGGCGTTTATCTGTTTTCTGCGCCGAGCCGGAATTGATAGTTTGGTTTCCGGGATCGAACTTCATCCTTCCCCACTTTTAAATGTTTCCTTTTAAGTAAAAAAAAATGTTTACCTGTCTATATATAGAAAATAAACCTTCGGTAATGATAGGACCCAAGTTTGTTCATTCATTCATCAGTAATCTGTCAGACGACAGGTCCACAGTCTCTTCCAAAACAGTTCCTCCACTTAATGCGATCTTCTGTTTTTAGAAAGAGACTATCCAGGAAAAGTGATAATGTGGTAGTTTTTCCATTTGCTTTCCACATCGCAGTACAACAGCCGTTCAAACCACTCTGGTCACGCCTGTTGCTATACGAACTTGAACCATCTCGAGCATCATTTGCTCTGTGCTTCAAGTCGCTGCTGATGACGCTGCTACCGGCATCAGTTTTTGGTTTTTGGTGTCTCTTCGTCTGATGCCTACCCTTTGACCTGTCCAGCAAGGGAGGCCCTGCCAGTAGCTACGCTACCGCTGGTATAGCTCTCAGGGTCCTTGGCATACTCAAACCCCCTCACCACGATAAGGTGGAGACACCAACGAAATTGTGCCCGAAATAAAATACGCAAAAAATTAGACTTTTATTGATTTATTTTTCTAAACATTCCCTCTTCCTCCTGTTCTATAAGTAAATTCTATATATCGGTACAGTACGGTCTCTCTTTTATAAAATTCTGTGGGGAAATCTAAGTTGTTTCTCAAAAAGTTATGAACGCGAGATATATT